GCCCCTCACCTGTGGAACTCACTCCCGGGGGAAATCAGGACATCATCATCCCTCCTCTCCTTCAGGAGGAGGGTGAAGATGTGGTTATGGGACCAGGCCTTTGGGCAATCTGGCAATTAAATAAGACAATCAGACGCGTAAGACCAACAGGATTGTCAAATTAGAACTATGAGATAGCGAACGCTGACCATGTAGGAGGAGGAATTGGGTTTGTATTGGTTTTATTGATTTTATTGGTATAATGCATGAATTGTTGTTAACTGTGAATTTTGATGTAATTTTGTGCTTTGATTGTTCTGTGATGCAGGCATCAAACTGTGCCTTTGCTTTTGTAAGCTGCCCTGAGTCCCCTTCGGGGTGAGAAGGGCGGGGTAAAAGAACCCGAAATAAAATAAATAAAATAAAAATTTGAGTGCATTTCAGCCTACATTCCTTGCCTAAGCAAAAACTATGAAATTCATGGGGCTGCTGTAAGTCGACAAGTGACTTGAATGTACGCATGCACATATACTCGAAATCATACAGCTTAGATGGCAGATAGTCAAATGATGTAAAAATGGCAGGCCCACATCAAATATTTCTTTTAGCAGGTGTTGCTAGGGAAATTTTGATCAACTAAAGCTATTGTACTTAGGCACTGTAGTGGAAAAATGCTGCCTTCCCTGAATGCTTTGATTGGGCTGGGTTCCTCCTGAGAATTTTATAAGATGAGAGGGCAAAATGCAACTTCTATCCACAGTATGGCACGATCCCAATTTATTATTATCCCAATTCAGAGTTTCTAAAAACTGTATTTACTGATCAGGGGTACTTTGACTGTGTTTTACCTGCATGGCAGGGAGTTAGATTAGATGACCTATTTGGTCTCCTCCACAGAGGCGGCCCTAGGTAATTTTCAATGGTAAGCAAACAGTATTTTGCCCCCCCCAACCAATCACTGATATAAATTTTCTGTTCGTCGTGGGAGTTCTGTGTGCCATATTTGGTTCAATTCCATCATTGGTGGAGTTCAGAATGCTCTTTGATTGTAGGTGAACTATACATCCCAGTAACTACAATTGCCATTTGCTCCCTTGCCTGGCCCGCTTTGGGTCCGGAGGCGTGCCTGAAGACCCCGGCGTGTGCACCAAAAGTCACCTCTTCTCCTGACTTTCTCCTCAGCCATTGGGACCAAGAGACAGAGAGAGAGAGAGAGGTGGAGATGCCCACCTTTCCTGAAGGTAGGCGCAAAAACAAAGGAGGGAGCGGAGGTGGGAGATACCTCCAGCCGGAGGGGCTCTCTCTCTCTCTCTCTCGGTCCCAATGGCTGAAGAGAAAGTCAGGAGAAGAGGCGACTTTTGGTGCGCATGCTGGGGTCTTCAGACATGCCTCCGGACCCGAGCGGGCCAGGCGTGGCGGCTCCGCCCCTTGGCCCACCCGCGGATTGGGGAGAGGAGAGGAGGCGGGTGGAGTGCCGGGGGATCGGGAAAGGGAGCCGGTCATGGGGAAGGGATCGAACGCAGAGAATGATTAAGCGCCGGTTCTGCTCGCGCACCCGTTGGCCGGGTGGAGCAGGAACGAGAGGGGCTCGGTGAGACTCATGGGCCCGGCCCCTTTGGGAAGACGATTGCCCGGCAGCGAGGCAAGAAAGCCTAGGTTCCCCCTGGACTGCTAGGGCTGTTGTGAGCTGAGGGGGCGCTCCTCAAGTGGTGGTCGAGGGGCATTTGCAGAGGCGCCTCTGCACCCCTGGCAAAAAAAAGTGTTCTGCGACTGCTTACTTCGCGTAATGGACGAGCCGCCCCTGCTCCTCCAACTCTATTTTTCTATGATCACTTTCCCTTAGGCAAGGAATACCTAAATATGACTTCTCTAGTTCCTTTCTGAGATACAGCCTACAGCACCTGGTGTCTCCCATCCAAGCACTAACCAGAGTTGACCCTGCAAAGAGGATCTGCGGTCTTTAACGTATGCAGGCCATGAATGTATGCCTTAATTAAAGTCTTTTTGAAGTATGCCTTAATTAAAGTCTTTTTGAAGAATGATTCTGCCCATTCGTAAAGAATTCACCAGCCACAGGGCTGTCGTCCAATTAATTACGTTTCCCAACCTCTGTCACTGATATGTCTAAAATCTGCCTCTCTATTAAGAGTCAACAATTGGTATGCAATACTATTTCCATGCAGCTGAGGCTGGATCCAAGCCTACACCAATGGAGGCACAGGCATCCAAACCTAATTTACATTAATTACTTTTTAAATGGCTGTTTTATGCTGTTTCCAAAAAGGTAATTCATCTCATCACAATAAAGTTCCCTTCAATTAAAAAAAAATATTCTGGACAGGTATCTCTCTTCCTAGTAAATAGCTCTCTGCATTGATCAAAGTTCATATAGAAAAGAATTAACAGTATCTCCCCTAACATATAATATGTATTCATATGTTTGAGGCCTAACTTTCTCCCAAGGGAGGGCCTGTCCAGCTAGGCTCTATATCCTAGGATCTGATCCCAGATTTACTGTTTATCTGGCAGTGCGGACTCATATAATCCAGTTTAAAGCAGAAAACCTGGGATCAGATCCTGGGATATAGGGCCTGTCTGGATGGGCTCTGAGAAAATGAATAAATTACCTGATGACCCCACGCTGGATCAAGCCAGCCAGCTCTTCCTTCCAAATGCTGCCAGGAAATGCCTCCTGATGCTCAGAAACCCTGTCCCGTTTTTAGCTCACCCATTACATTTGTTGTATTCAGTATTCCATTTAGCTCTTAAGCCTAAATATTAAAAGACAATCTCCAGATTGAGAAGAGCAGTTGATAATGGATCCCATAAAGAAAGGCAATAAACTAGTTGCTAATCTCTTTTGATTAGGCTGGATCTACACTGTTGTATAATCCAGATTTTTTTTATTTACTATATTTATATACTGTCCCTCTGAGCCCACAGGGGACTCGGGGCGGTTCACAATTGGTGCCATAAAACACAATTTCAATACAATAAAAACAATCGGATAATAAAGCCATAACAATAATAAAACCATAATCCACATTATCTGCTTTGAACTGGATTATATGTGTCTACACTGCCATACGATCCAGTTCAAAGCTGATCATCTGGATTTTTTATGGCAGTGCAGAAGGGGCCTTAGAGATCAGAAATACCTAAATGTCTACAAAATTGTTCGCTAACATTGTCAATACATTTTTGGAAATGAGCAACCCTAACTCCACCAAAGGAGGCCTCACGGCATCCAGATTGGCATAACTCCCTATTTCTTTATAAAGTTGGGAATATTTCACGTACTTATTCAGAAAGAAGAATTCACTGAGATCAAGGAGGTTGCTTTCCAAATAAGAGCACACTGGATTCAAGCCCTACTGCCCTAGATATGGGAAATAATGGTGTTTGTGATCGATGGCTGTCATGAGTGGCTTTGCTTTGAGCAGAAAAAAAACGGTCAGTTGTTTTGTTCTCCTGTTTATAATCACGATGGACTGGATGGCCTTGAGTATTTTCTGTTGGTCAGGGGGTTTCTGTGTGGGAAGTTTGGCCCAATTCTGTTGCTGGTGGGGTTCAGAATGCTCTTTGATTGTAATTAACTTTACATCCCAGCAACTACAACTCCCAAAAGTCAAGGTCTATTTTCCCCAAACTCCACCTGTGTTCATATTTGGGCATGTGGAATATTTGTGCCAAGTTTGGTCCAGATCCGTCATTGTTTGAGTCCACAGTGCTCTCTGGATGTAGGTGAACTACAACTCCCAAACTCAAGGTCAATGCCCACCAAACTCTTCTAGTGTTTTCTGTTGGTCCTGTATGCCACATTTCGTACAATGCCATAATTGGTGGTAGTCCAGAATACTCTTTGATTGTAGGTGAACTATACATCCCAGCAACTACAACTTCCAAATGACAAAATCAATCCCCCCAGACCCCACCAGTATTCAAATTTGGGCATATTGCGTATTTGTGTCAAATCTGGTCCAGTAAATGAAAATATATCCCACATATCAGATACTGATGATTTGTAACAGTAGCAAAATTACAATTATGAAGTAGCAATTAAAATAATGTTATGGTTAGGGGTCACCACAACATGAGGAACTGTATCAAGGGGTCGCGGCATTAGGAAGGTTGAGAAACACTGACCTAGAGCTTCGGAGAGCTCCCTGCTTGAGTGGTGAACTATACATCCCAGCAACTACAACTCCCAAATGACAAAATCAAAAAAAATTGAGTGAAGGACACACATTGGGTTGTTAGGTGTATGCTGTCCAAATTTGGTGTCAATTGGCCCACTGGTTCTTGAGTTCTGTTAATCTCACAAACGAAGATTACATTTTTATTTATAAAAGGTAAAGGTAGTCCCCGGACATTAAGTCCAGTCATGTCTGACTCTGGGGTGTGGTGCTCATCTCCATTTCTAAGCCGAAGAGCCAGAGTTGTCCGTAGATACCTCCAAGGTCATGTGGCCAGCATGACTGCATGGAGCGCCGTTACCTTCCCGCCGGAGCGGTACCTATTGATCTACTCACATTTGCATGTTTTCGAACTGCTAGGTTGGCAGAAGCTAGGGCTGACAGCGGAAGCTCATGCCGCTCCCCGGAATCGAACCTGCGACCTTTCGAATCACAAGCTCAGCAGCTCAGTGCTTTAACCCACTGCGCTACCGGGGGCTCCATTTTATTTATATAGATGATGATGATGATTATTATTATTATTGAATCAGTGCAGATTGTTGGTACCTGGCTTTTTAAAATATTTTTAATGTTTTTAGATCAAACCGCCACATTCAAGAAGCTGCCAGTATGAAAGAAGAAATATAGAAAGGGAGCTAAGGATCCATTCCTGCTTTGGATGCCTGCTCTGCCTAAAGACAGGCATTGCAGGTTAAAAGGCAGCTGGGCCAGTGAGCGCATGCGCACATCCGCCCAAGGAGGGCCCCTCTGAATGCCTTGGGAAGGAGGGAAGCAGAGCGGGGAATGAGCGCAGCCCCTCCCTCCCTCCCTCTTCCCCCTCCCCACCTGACTTGGGGTAGGTGACGATCCAGACGTCGCTGTCTCGGACGGGGAAGTTGGTGATCTCCTCCATCTTCCCCCGGCAGAAGGGGGGCAGGCGCACCCCGTGGTACTCGAAGTACTTGCTCTCGAACTCGCCCGGGGTGCTGGGCGTCTCGCACTCGCTCTCCGCCATCCTGCCTGCCTGCCTTGCTTGGCCCAAGACCGGCTTCTGGAGGGAGAATCCTCGCTGAGGAGACAGGCTGCTGCTGCTACATCTGCTGCTGCGGCTTCTCTGAGGGAGAGGGGCGAAGGAGAGCGGCTGCCAACCAATAGGGACTGGAGTTGGTGATGTCATGCCGCGCCGGGCCAATAGGAGGCCGGGCAGCAACAGCGGATGCAGGAGTCGGAGGGAGCATCCTAGCGCGCGGATGGACCTTTGTGCCTAGGAGAATCTTCAGCACAGGGACCCTGAGCCACCTTCCTGGGTTTTGCTTATGTGATGGACTTGTGGATTTGAAGGCAGAACAAAATGAAATCCAAATATACAGGGTGGGAGATGCCTGGCGCAACAGCAGTCCAAAGACTCAAAGAATATTGTTTTCATGTACTTTGAAATTCTATTTTAATATTTCTTTAAGTGTACATTGTGTTTTAATTTTTATTTATACCCCGCTACCATCTCCCCCTCCAGCAAAGGATCACCGCCTTGTCGGGGCGCTGGAGCTTGAGCACCTCAATGATGTCATGAGCGAAACCGTGAAGGGACACCCAAGACGGGACGGTTGTGGCAGAGAGGTCAGACCAAGCGTGATCCCTGGGGAAGGCAATGGCAAACCACTCCAGTATCCTTGCCAAGAAAACTAAATTGACCAGTACAACCAGAGATATGTCGGTATGCCATTGGAAGATGGGACTCCCAGGTCGGAAGAAAGCCTTTGACTGTGTGGATCATAATAAATTGTGGCAAGTTCTTAGTGGGATGGGCATCCCAAGCCACCTTGTCTCTCTCCTGAGGAATCTGTCCAAGGACCAAGTAGCAACAGTCAGAACTGACCATGGAACAACAGACTGGTTCAAGATTGGGAAAGGCGTACGGCAAGGCTGCATCCTCTCACCCAACCTTTTTAACTTGTATGCAGAACACATCATGCGATGTGCGGGGCTGGATGAATGCAAAGCTGGGGTGAAAATTGCTGGAAGAAACATTAACAACCTCAGATATGCAGATGACACCACTCTGATGGCCGAAAGCGAGGAGGAGCTGAGGAGCCTTCTAATCAAGGTGAAAGAAGAAAGCGCAAAAGCCAGGTTGCAGCTAAACGTCAAAAAAACCAAGATTATGGCAACAAGAATGATTGACAACTGGAAAATAGAGGGAGAAACCGTGGAGGCCGTGACAGACTTTGTATTTCTAGGTGCAAAGATTACTGCAGATGCAGACTGTGGCCAGGAAATCAGAAGACGCTTACTTCTTGGGAGGAGAGCAATGTCCAATCTCGATAAAATAGTAAAGAGTAGAGACATCAGACTGGCAACAAAGATCCGCCTAGTCAAAGCCATGGTATTCACTGTAGTAACCTACGGATGTGAGAGCTGGACCTTAGGGAAGGCTGAGCGAAGGAAGATCGATGCTTTTGAGCTGTGGTGTTGGAGGAAAGTTCTGAGAGTGCCTTGGACTGCGAGAAGATCCAACCAGTCCATCCTCCAGGAAATAAAGCCCGACTGCTCACTTGAGGGAAAGATACTAGAGACAAAGTTGAAGTACTTTGGCCACATCATGAGGAGACAGGAAAGCCTAGAGAAGACAATTATGCTGGGGAAAGTGGAAGGCAAAAGGAAGAGGGGCCGACCAAGGGCAAGATGGATGGATGGCATCCTTGAAGTGACTGGACTGACCTTGAGGGAGCTGGGGGTGGTAACGGCCGACAGGGAGCTCTGGCGTGGGCTGGTCCATGAGGTCACGAAGAGTCGGAGACGACTGAACGAATGAACAACTACAACCATCTCCCCAATGGGGACTCGGAGCGGCTTACATGAGGCCATGCCCAGACAACATATGACAGCAAAATAAAACCAAAACATAAGCAACAAGCAACAACATCATCTTATCTATCTATATAAATAAAAATGTAGTGTTTGTTTGTGCTATTCACAGAACTCAGAAACCACTGGGGCAATTGACACCAAATTTGGACACTATGTCCCTAACAACCCAATGTATGTTCTCCACTCAAAAAAACAACGAAAACAAAAAGCAGAAAGGACTTCTAAACTGCATGTCTACCGAGACCCATGGCCACACCCCCTCCTCCTTGCGAGGATACAGCCACACACACACACAAGCGAGTGGAGTGGAGATGGAGGCTTGCCGCATGTAGCCCCTTCTCTTCCCCTTCTATGTCAGGAGGGCAGTCTCCTCCTCCTTTCCCTGATGGAAAGTGCCAGCAACAGCAACGGAGTGCTCCGCGCAAGGAAGAAGGGGAGGAGGAGGAGGAGGAGGCAAGGAAGGTCCACGGTGCTTGAATGAAGGACCTTCCTTCTCTCCCTCCCTTCCCTTCTTTCCTCCCTTTCCTTTCTTTCCTTTTCTTCTTTCCTTCTCCTTCCTTTCCTTCTTTCCCTCCTTCCCTTCCTTCCTGTCCCTCCTTCCTTCTTCCTTTCCTTCTTTTCCTCCCTCCCTCCCTTTCCTCCTTCTTTCCCTTTCTTCATTTCCTTCCCCTTCATTTCCTTCCCTCCCTCCTTTCTTCATCCCCCTCCTTTCTTTCCCTCCTTCCTTCCTTCTCCTTCCTCCCTCCCTCCCTTCCTGTCCCTCCTTCTTTCTTTTCCTTCCTTCCCTTCTTCCTTCCCTTCCTCCTTTCTTCACCCCCCTCCTTTCTTTCCCTCCTTCCTTCCTCCCTCCCTTCCTGTCCCTCCTTCTTTCTTTTCCTTCCTTCCCTTCTTTCCCTCCCTCCCTTCCTTTTTCCTTCCTTCCTTCCTGTCCCTCCTTCCTTCCTTCTTCCTTTCCTTCTTTCTATGTAAGATATAAATACAATATTAAATGGAAGGGACAGTCAAGAAGTAATGAGGGGAGGAGGAAAAGAGGGAAGAAAGGAAGGAGAGAAGGAAGAAGGAAAGAAAGAAAGATAGAGAAGCAAGGAAGGAGAGCAGGAAATAAAAAGTTAAAGGAAAAAGAGAGGGAAGGAAGGAGAGAAGGAACAAAAGATAGTGAAGGAACCAAAGAGCAAAGAAAGGGAGGAAAGAAACAGGTAGAGATGTAAGAAAGATGAGAGATAGGGAAAGAAAAAGAGGAAAGGAAGAAAAGAGGGAAGGGAGGAGAGAAAGAGGGAGGGAAGGTTGACCACAGCAACGCGTGGCGGGTACAGCTAGTCTATATAAATAAAAATGTAATGTTCGTTTGTGGGATTAACAGAACTCAAAAACCACTAGGCGAATTGACACCAAATTTGGACACAAGACACCTAACAACCCAATGTATGTCCTTCACAAAAAAAAAATAATGATTTTGTCATTTGGGAGTTGTAGTTGCTGGGATTTATAGTTCACCTACAATCAAAGAGCATTCTGAACCCCACCAACGATGGAATTGAACCAAACTTGGCTCACAGTTCTCCCATGACCAACAGAAAATACTGGAAGGGTTTGGTGGACAGTGTCCTTTGGTTTTGGAGTTGTAGTTCACCTACATCCAGAGATCACTGTGGACTCAAACAATGATGGATCTGGACCAAACTCTACACAAACACTCCATATGCCCAAATGTGAACACTGGTGGAGTTTGGAGAAAATAGAATCTTGGTATTTGGGAGTTGTAGTTGCTGGGATTTGTAGTTCACCTACAATCAAAGAGCATTCTGAACCTCACCAACAGGGGTGGCTCAACCATTTCGCAAAGTAAGCATTCGCAGTATAGTTGATTTTGCCCAGGGGCGCTCTTGAGGCGCTCTTGGGGGAAAATAGACCTTGACATATGCAAGTTGTAGTTACTGGGATGTATAGTTCACCTACAATCAAAGAGTATTCTGAACTCCATCAATGATGGAATTGAACTAAATATGGCACACAGAACTCCCATGATGAACAAAAAATATATATCAATGATTGGTTGGGAGTGAGGCACCAAAATACTGTTTGCTTACTATTGAAAATTGCCTAGGGCCGCCTCTGCCCACCAATGATGGAATTTAACCAAACTTGGCACACAGTTCTCTCATGACCAACAGAAAATACTGGAAGGGTTTGGTGGGCAGTGTCTTTGGTTTTGGAGTTGTAGTTCACCTCCATCCAGAGAGCACTGTGGACTCAAACAATGATGGATCTGGACCAAACTCTACACAAATACTCAATATGCCCAAATGTGAACACTGGTGGAGTTTGGGGAAAATAGAATCTTGACATTTGGGAGTTGTAGTTGCTGGGATTTATAGTTCACCTACAATCACAGAGCATTCTGAACCCCACCAACAAGAGAATTGGGCCAAACCTCCCACACAGGGAGGGAAGGTTGGCCACAGCAACACGTGGCGGGTACAGCTAGTCTATCTAAATAAAAATGTAATGTTCGTTTGTAGAATTAACATAACTCAAAAACTACTGGGCAAATTGACACCAAATTTGGACACAAGACACCTACTAACACAAGGAGTGACCATCACTCAAATAAAATTGATTTTGTCATTTGGGAGTTGTAGTTGCTGGGATTTATAGTTCACCTACAATCAAAGAACATTCTGCTCCACCCATAATGGAATTGAACCAAACTTTGGCACATAGGATTCCCGTGACAAACAGAAAACACTAGATGGGTTTGATGAGCATTGACCTTGAGTTTGGGAGTTGTAGTTCACCAACATCCAGGCAGCACTGTGGACTCAAATAGTGATGGATCTGAACTAAATTTGGCACGAATATTCCAAATGCCCAAATATGAACACAGATGGAGTTTGTGGAAATAGACCTTAACATTTAGGAGTTGTAGTTACTGTGATTTATAGTTCACCTACAATCAGAGCATTCTGAACCCCACCAACTACAGAATTGGGGCAAACTTCGCACACAGAACTCCCATGACCAACAGAAAATACTTAAGGCCATCCAGTCCAACTCTCTTCACCAGGGCAAGAAAATGTAATCAAAGTCTTCCTGACAAAGAGCCATCCAGCCATAGATAGATATGATTCACACACACAGAGATATAGCATCATAGATTTGAAATGGACCCCTAAAGAAGGACAATAATATGTTGCATGTTCCAGAGTAGGCAAACCAGACAATCTCCACATCAACACTGACAAAGAAACAGCAAGAAATACTGTTT